GCTGAGCTGTCCGCGAGTCCGGGCCCCGGAGCACCCCATGGCTTTTGGGGAGCGCGACGTGGTCTTCTGCCCCTGCCTTTACAGCTATAGTCCCCACCAGCGCCTTTACATACGGCTTGTGCATACCGGCACGAGAGACCGCCCACCGAGGGGGCTCAGGCACCCGAAACTAAAGCTCGGTGCGGTTTAACTGAGGAAAATGTGACTTTAAAGGCCGCCTGAAGCAGCCCGGCTGACGCCTTTGGGCCCAGCAGCTCCCTGCCGTGATGGAAACGCCGCTCCGCGGGGCTTCCTCAGCGTTCCCGCCCGGCTGCCTCAGGGGCCGGCGCGGGCAGCAGCCCGCTGCCTCCCGCCGCGCCGCGGGCACACGGCGGCCAGGCAGGCGGCTCCTTTCTGATAGGCTGCGCTGTAGAAAAAACATGATGGCAGCTAGGGTTTAAGTGCTCTATGTAGTATGTGGACAAAACTACAAACTCCGGGGATTTGTCTTTGACCAAGAGGTAAGGTGGTCTAAAAAAACCAAAAACCAAAAAAACACCCCCCTTGTTTTGAAGAATACTGTCATCTGAACCGCGGTCACCAGACAGCCCTTACCATTGCTTTATATTGCAGAATACCTGGGACAGTTGCTCCAGGCCTCTCACCACCGAAACCGTTAACTGCGCCCCACTGTAAAGGTCAGCCTTGCAGCTTTGGAAGGTCAGTCTATTTTTATTGCCTGGAATGGCATTAAAAAAAATTGTGCTTCTCAATTTACAGTCACTATGTTATACTCTTTGTTTATTTATTTTTTTCAAAGGTGTTATATTTTGTGGAATTGGGAGGAGTCTGCAAAACAATTTAGACTTAACCATTTACTTCCAGTCATCCCATGCATACCCTTGTAACTCTGTCTTACTGCAATGTGTTCATCCAATTACTATGCATTTAGGGGCAGTCCAAAGGCCTTGATATTCATGGAAACACTTCCACCCATTTCAAACTGAGTTTGTTACCTTTTGGTAGTTAATTTTTTTCTTTCCCCCTTCACCTGCTCCTCCCTTTGAACATTTTAAGAAATCTGCTTGTTCCTCATTACAGTTCACATTTTTTGGTATTGTTGAGAAAGGTTTTCATGTGGGTGTACGTGAATATGTCAACTTTTATGCCCCCTGACAGTACCAGGATCCCTAGACAGACTGGGGGAAAATTCCTAGCAAAAGTCCCCCTGTGTATTTGTGCAGCTGCCCTAACGTTCACCTCAGTGAGACTCATTCAGATGTGATTCAAACGTGATACTTCCAGTCTGGATTATTTTACACAGCTACTCCCTGGGGGCCCAGCAGGATTCTCCCATCTTTCTTGTCTTTCCTAGCTCACTTATTCCTTACTCAGCTTGCTGGCCTGCGTGCTTTGCATACAGGACAGACTTGCACCTAGCAGAAGTCCCACTCTCCTGGTACGCTGGCTGTTTTCTCTGAATTGGACGTGTCCTAGTAAAGAAGGTACAACATAGGAATGGGAAATACAAGAAGCTCCAACAGGTATGGGAGTCATAGGAACAAAACCAACAGACATGTCATTGAAAGAGATCTGGACCATCTCTTTGCTATGGTCCTGAGCAGGCTTCAGTATCCTGAAGTGACTTTGCAGTCGGTCTGCCACAGAGTCTTGCACAAGTGCCTCTTCCTCCAGGCTTCCTATTGTCCTGTCATGTACTGCAAATGGGGCAGAATTTAGAAATTTCATAAGCTGCTTACGCAGTGAACGGTTCTAAGAGAAGAAGAGAAAATAATGCCTATGTAGCCGAGTCCTTTGCATAGTTACCCTAAAGTGCATGCTGAACATCTTGTGAAAAGCAAGAAAAACCCAAAAGGGTATTACTGAAGGCAATTTCACCACTGCTACTAAGTTTGAAAATGTGGCTCTTTTGTTTTCCCCACTTAATAGGGAAACTCACCCTACTCTAGTTACTAGGTTTGCACTGCCACATCTCCACTATACTATGCATTTAGACAGGTTTTGAAATGTATCTAAATTTTTGCAAAAGGGTTTTTAAGTTTCTCAAGACAAAAATCATTAGGAAACCAAGCTAGCATATGGCCTCCTGATTCTAAATCCTGAAGCAGTTATTTTGACCAACATTTGTGACTGTAGCTAAAACAGTCAATGAAGGACTTGAGCCACAGCAAAGATATTCCCTAAGTACTATAATAATTAGAACAGTATCATTTCATTGCCCTTCAATTCAATATGAAAAAAATGACTGTTATAAAGATACCGAATGAATATATCAGGTCCCTTGATGAAGTTTAATCAGGAAAGCAGAGCAGCCTGCTCTAATCCTTTCTCCATCAACATCACCTCTTACACTGGCACATCACTGACGGACTTTGGGCCTGTGTTAATTTAGCAGACGTAAATTGAGCAGGCTTTCTGCATATGGGAACCACACCAGCAAAACATCAATGCACAAGTGCTACCATTTAGCATTGCAGATATTGTATAGGACACAGCCAACAGCAATCACGCATGGCATTTGTTACACTGGCATCTAAATGGTGGATTTCACAGTGCCATTTTATCTTTGGTTTGCAGTTTCTCTGTGTGTGATATGACATACCACAGCAGGAAAAGATCAATAGTAGCTTCAAAATAAGAGTGGACACCATATGAATGTCACTATCAGGAAATAATTTTCCAGCTTTTTCAAATATATTAATACCAGAATTCTTCAGTCCTTTTACGTACACCTTCCTAGTACTCCCTCCCTCCCCGCCTTCTGTTTTGCAACACAGTATTACAGAACACTTATCCTAGCAGTGGCTTAATACACTTTGGGGAGCCTGTTCACTAGGTGTCAGAGCACACTCATGTCGTATTGCTTATGCCTATTTTAAAGGTTATGACTGTAAAATGTAGGAACTTAGAGGTCTTACATGACAGTACTCTTTTTTTTTTTTTTTTAAATAACAGAACAATAGCTCCCAATAACAACAGTAAAAGCCAACTAGCACAGAGAGAACTTAACTGAACTTCTAACTAAAATTAAAAGCAGATTCCTTTGGCCCGTATGCAGGAGATATGTGACTTCACAAAATTTAAAGTGATAGCACAGTTTTTCTCAATGCCCCACACTCATGACCTGTAAATTTATGAATTAACATTGTGTTATTGTTCAAACAAGAGGAAGCTTCTGACGTGTTGAATATTCTGTGTAGCTTTTGTCTTCTAATAGGGAGATCTCATCCAGAAATGCAAACCTGATTTTGAAAGAAAGCTAATATTCTTTAATCTGTATCTCTGCAATTTGATTAGACTCCAGTCTAGAAGTGTGAGTTAGATCTTTGCTATGCAGTGGCTGAAAACAAGTGCTGTTCTTAGATGCATTAAGTGCTCAGCAGGAATTTACATATGGCCTTGGATATTAGAATCTAGTATTGAGGGAAAATATTGGTCAGAACATTGAAGTAATCACCTGTAGCCTATTTCTTTTTAAATCCCTTCAGATTGCAGCAGCCTGATAGGCAAGGAATAAATAGTAGGCTGGAATAAAAATGCCTATGTAAGTAAGAAATCAAATGAGATGCAGTTTGTTCTTACTGAACACGTGAGTGCTCTTTCCTCCAGTTACTTGGCGGTGTTGGTTTGACCTTTCAAAGGTGAACCTGGTGTCATCATTAATTTTTGGGTTGCAGAAACATTTTTGGTTTGTTTTTAATCCCAGCTCAGCCATTCTTTTACTGTGTGGCCTCAAACAATCAATGCTCTTTGCTTTAACTTTTCTATAAAGTTAGACTGCTATTAATTTTTAATGGAAAATTGTAAAATTCAATGCATTTATCTTTAAAGAGGTCCAAATAAAATTTTATTATAGTTAAATGTAGCTTTTCAAATAATTGCTTAAGATACATTTGACTGTGCTTTAGGTAACAGCACCACGTTAATTTGATATTAATAATCTTCTGCAAATGTGGTGACTTGGCAAACAAATTTTTAAACTAAGCATCTGAATGGTATTCTTGTACCATTTAACTTAGTTAAGTGTTAAATAAATTCACATGTAATGAGGCAATTTTTGTTTTACAAGGAGAACATATTACACCAGTTTGCTGAATCGCTACCAGCACTTTTATCTTCCTGTAAATTGTCCCATTTGACACTAGTGAGATATGCTGAGATTTAGGACTTCAGAGTACCTATTCTGTAGGAACTGTAGTACTGTTTTATCAAGCAGATCTACTCTTTCAGTTTTATATTTGCTCCTCAAAAAGAAATATTTAAAGAGTGCCTCTTGCACACTCCATTTTCTTTATGATGCTCCTTCCTACTATATCAAACTATAGTGAGAATACCATTGATATTTTCCTGGTCCATTAAAATAATAATCCTTAAATCTTATCTAGACAGCTCTTTGAGCTCAAATGGTAAACAATTGATTGGACTTGTGTCTGTTGTATAAAATTGGCATCTGATTTTTAAGCGAAGAAATAACTACGTACTAGCCCCACATAACCTGAGGATATCTGAAAGCTAATACTGAGGTCTGTGGGCCTGCTTTGTAATCTTTCAGTGCAGACAGAATTCAAGCCATAGTAATTTAAACAGTCTACCACGCTGTGATATGTTGCAGAAGGAGAATATTTCGCCAAATGTACGACTACAGCAAGCATTTGTTTTAAAAGATAATTTTCAGCTTTTCCTCATCTTCATGCCTTAGAACAAATTCCTGATTTCTCATTGCCAAAACACTTTCAGTCCCAGGCCTCTTTTCAACCAGTTTTTGCATTCTACCACCAAGTTAAATGTGAGCAGGAAGAGCAGGGAAGATGATGCAAGAGTGGTTTGCACTGGAATGCTACAAAGCTAAAATTCAGACTGACAAATCTTCTTTTGCTATATAGCAATCAGTGCACCTAATTCAACATTTACAGTTGAAGCATCACCAAATGCTGCTACCAGAAATTCAAAGTCCTTACTTAATGTTTGTCTTATTGATATCATCAGATCTTTTGGTTAGCCATGAATTTGAGCTTCAGATTGCTGATCAGAAGTAGCTTGCCCGTAACTGGGCAGCAGCTCCTATGTGAACTTGCAGGAACTAGGAATTGCTGCTGTATGTTGGGGCAAACTGCTGCTGATGCTGCTGCCTAGCTTTTTAGCGTACCTTACCTCTGCGCAAACCACTGGCTCTCCATTCCAGCTGGATTCTTGTTGGTGGAGGAATCACTGTCTCAATACAGTAGAGCAGTATTGATATTTTGCCTCCGAGTATGCCAGTGATGTATTTCTTGGGTCACTGCAGGTGCTGTGCAGCAGGTTCCCCCAAAGTCTGGAACTTCCTTGGAGGTACCGGCTTGCACAGAGACTACGTACTAACCTGGCTCTGCAGGAGGCAGCTTTCCATAGCATCTCTGGACTGAGTCACTTTACACCTCGCTTGACGTTCCCCTGTGCTCGTCAAGTGAGGATTGCTGCTTATAGGACTTGAAAGCTGGTATGAAACAATCTTCTCCCTCTTATTCTTCTCACAACTCTCCTATGTTGGATATGCCTTTTACCAGCTCTGTTATAGTCTGACCAGTTTATTAGCTTTTGAAACTCTCTGCAAGCATTTAGGTGAGACTTGCTAAAGTAAGAGCTAAAATCCCTGCAAGCCTTCCTACCGAGCATACTCAAACATCACCACATGGTTCCACCACAGGGCTACTGGGCATGTACTAACTAGCATGTTGCTACAACTAACAGCATTGTGCATCATGCATCATCCCTACAGAACAATTGCTTGTGCTGAACTCGGAGCAACCACAAAACCCAGAGACATACCAGGTCTGAACAAAGAATGCGTTTATAAACCATGAAGGAGACAAATTGAGAGCTGCTGAGAAAAAGGTGAAAAGCTGGAAATGCATTGTCTGTGAAAGGACCTCTGAGATGAGATGAAAAAGAGTGGGAAAATTAGTTGCTAGTCCAAGTGAAAGGAAAGAGGAAAAAAGCTGTGGGACAGAGGTGGAATTGAGATTGGCTAGCAAAGAAACTGGTCAGTGTGTGGAAGAGCATTGTACTAGATTTCAATTAATCTTGTAGTTTCACATTACAAATTGTGTAATTAGGTCTAAAGTGCCTTAAACTAAAACACTTACAGGTCAATGCTTTTGCCAGCAAGCTCTTTGCTCACCATGAAATGGAATAATAGGATCTCATCACATCTCGCTGATATAAAAAAATCAATAATTTTAAAAAGCACCCAGAAATGGTGAAAAATATAGAAAACTCAATAAAGTTAATAATTCAGTACTTTTATCAGATAAAACTTCAATAGTGTGCATCAGATAAAGCGATGGCCCACATCCCTTGAAGTGGGTAAAATGATTTTACTGCAGTCCTTTATCCATTGATTTAATTGTACTGTGCACTGAATTAAGTGGAGACCCTTTCAGAAAAGTGGCAGGTTGTCATTGTATCATAACACCTACACAGACCTGGCTCAAACTGATATCAGGGAACCAAACTTAATTCTTTCATTTCAGATAAGCAAGGAAGTATTTTTTTTAAAAAAATCTCTTTAAGTCAAAGTCGGTGCACATTTTGATAGAAAGCTATTGTGCGTGTACTTCAGCTGTTGACGTGTCAGAATATAGACAACAAAAAGAAAGTAGGTTTCTGTGTAGTCGAGTGGAAAACCTTATTTTACTTAGTGGCTAATGCCACCAAGTGGCTAGTTCGTGTAATTGACTGAAAGCCGTAAAATGTGTTCTTCTTTTACCTCTAGGTAAACAAGTATTTTCGTATAAATACGTTTCCAAGTGTGAATTTTTATGTGTGACATAAATTTAAAAATAATGAAAGTAGAAAGGGCTGATTAGTAGAGAGGAATAAATACCCAAGACAAGCCTATGTAAAAAGAATATTTCTGGAGGTCAGTGGAATACATTTATCTAGTTTGTAGGTTAACAGTGAGTCAGTTGGTATAACAGATAAGTATGAAACAGTGCCAAAGCTCAAGGGAAAAGACTTAATTACGGAGAAAAATATGTCATCCTACATTGTGACTTTTATCATCATTTATTACCTTTTAGATGGTTAGTATTGTTTCAATGACTCAACATTCCCCTCTCTTTGGGGAAAAAAAAGCATATGCAAACTGCTTTGGTAGGAGAAATTTTTCCTATGTAAGATAATAGTATTGTTGTTATTTCCCTAATACATATTTAGCTAGGACAATAATGCTGAAAAGCTTGAAAAATGCTGACGTCTAGTCTTGTAAGTGTAGGATACACAAGAGGGAGATGAATAAATATAGGTGTCAGGACTGTTATCTTCACAGGAAGACCAGTCTCCTGCATGTATTTGGCCAAATCTAAATGCACGTTTTCAAAGGCATGTCAATATATCAAAATAGAAAACAGTAGTAACAAAAACTTCTTAGATCTAAGTTATCCATCATCAAAACAATCTGATAGGGATGCAGCCTTTTTGCACATCATTTGATTTGAACTCAAGCGACATTTTACCGTGATAATCTTGCCAGTAACATTGAGAAACCATTTGCCCAGTGCACACATATATGAAACCTGAGCAAGGGTTGACCTTATAAAATACCACAGTTTTGCTGTATACCTAATTATATATTGCTTAATACCTAAGGGGAAAATAGATTACAAGGAACCACATAACAACACAGGTTCTCTTCAGACCTACGTTCAATAGCTTATTGTTTTCCATATTACTTTGGGCTTAAAAAGTAGCATAGCTATCAGTATATGCCTTGGACGGCACAATATTTAATTTCCAAAATTATATATATTTTACTTAATTATTTCCTCAGGTGTTAAGCAACAGAAATTCCCCTTTATATACTCAGCATGCAGTCTCCTTTATGCAATTACTGTTGCTTTCAAAATTATAAGCTTTCTCTTACTTCCTTGAGGTCCTGTAACAAACTATGCAAAAAAAGTCATCAGCTTCTTTTCATGCTAGATGTTATGTTGTTCATTTGCCACTTGACATCATCATCCTCTGACATAGTTCAACAGTAGATTACACGACTTTATCTCTCTTCAGGCTTGCAGTAAGGTTAAAAACCAACCCCCAGCCCTCTATGTCTCTAAGTGATCATTTGGTTAAGCTAGAAACTTCTGCTTTGCAATAAATACAGAATTATTATGAACATGCTAACAGAACTATAATTGCAGTACACTTTACAAAGAAGATGCATCTGCAGGCTTTTTATAGTTCATGTATCCTCATGCATTTTGTTTCCTTGATACAACTTGGATATTGACACTTAACAAATTAGCATGCAGTACTCTTTCACAGAAATATTTTTATTAAGGCTGAAGAACTGTTGATTATTTTTTTTTTTTTTAAGGAGACTAGTATGTTTGAAAAGAGTCCTTCCAGAGAGATTGATGATTGCCTATGCAGAAGGAGTATGGGTACTTGTACTCACTAGTTAGAGAGTAATTGTTTTTTCCTGGTTCTCTTGGTTTTTTTTCCCTGGTTTTCTTGCTTTATAGCTCTTTGGCAATAGCTAACACCTTCTGAAATAAAAGAAGCTATAAAATGAGAAGCAAAACAGTATTCCCTCCCTTACCCACTTTACCTTTCACAGATAAATTTTCTGAAAGTCTGATTACAGTTTCCAACAGGATTGTAGCTTGCATTCTCATCCCTCCTTGTGGGTCTTCATGAGGAAATTACTTCCGTATATTCTTATATTTATAACACTGTTTCAGAAGTATAGGCCCCATTCTGTCAATGGGCCAAGACCCTACATTAAAATCTTAAAAAATATTTGGATATTAATTCCTACTATAATCTGTGTAAATTATGAACCTAAACCTAAATTTAGGCATATGAATAGCGCCACAAATGAGCTCGGCAAGCTTTCACGGGGACAATCTCTCAGTAAAACCCACGGGGCAAGGCTCTAGGCGCAAAACCAGCACACTCCTCTCCAACGTTTGGAGACCGCCAAGAAATTACGCGCCCTTAACGCAAATGTGACAGGACCCCGGTTCTTCTGGGGATTCACACTGGGCAGCGACTTGCGCGAGAACACGGAGCGCCTCCCGCGTGCTGTTTCGCGCGTCTC